CAGGTAAGATTTTAATGAAGATTCAAACTTTTTTTTTGTTGATGTTGTTGATTTGAGACAATAAGTGGTTTTTATCTTTTCTGAATTTTCAGTGAGATACATCTTATGACACTGTAAAAAAATATCTTAAAATTTTACCGTTCTGTTTATGGATATATGTAAACATTTGGGTTATTCATCATTTTTCACTGCAAGTGCAATCTGTGAAACAATTATTTGAAGGACACCCAGACATGGCATTAGTGTTCGAGCAAAGAGCCAACATCTGAAGACATCATGCATGAATGTCCTCCTCAACCTAATCGAGACTCTGTGCCAGTCACTGCAAGACCTCTCCTTTGATGTGTTGGGATAAAAGATCCCACATTGGAAATATGAATGGGACATGAGTGATATATAAGGGACTTGGGTCAATCCACTAATTGCCAATTGGTTTTAAGTTGGAAGCCCAAGAAACTTATCATGGTATCAGAGCCGGTCCACACCCTGACCCATTAATCCGGCCCGGAAAGTGGCCCGATCAACCCATTAGCTGATGGCCCAGAGAAGGCTCAGTTCTATCGAGATTGCTAGAAGAAAAAGCATTGTCTCGGTAGGGGTATGATGGATTCTGCGAGATTAATGGTTAGACCCACCATTATCTCGAGGGAGGGTGTTGGGATAAAAGATCCCACATTGGAAATATGAATGGGACATGAGTGATATATAAGGGACTTGGGTCAATCCACTAATTGCCAATTGGTTTTAAGTTGGAAGCCCAAGAAACTTATCATGATGATCTGTGCCAAGCAGAAAAAAACATTGACATACTGCTTGGAGCTTAAACTGGAGGAATTAGAGGAAATGAAGAACAAAGAGGAAGAATTAGAGGAAGAGCTAAAGGTTTTTAAGGAGAAGTGCTCAGACATTGAAGCTTTGCTGGAGAAAAAGAAGGAAGAGCTGAAGGACTTAAAGCAGAAGTGCTCAGATATAGAGAACGAAAAGGCAAAGGTGTTGGCGGCCAGAGCTTTTGCTCAAATGTTGTTTGATTGATGCCTTCGGTTTGGCAATTTTGGCTAGGTATTTTATGTTATGGTACTGTATGTTCGTTTGGGTCTAGGTTTCAACACTAGAGGCTTTAGCTTAGAAGCTAGAGAGACCTTCTAAGGTAATTGTTTTGGTTAAGAGGACTCGGTAGGATTTTGTAAAGTACGCAGCATTATGAGAAAGAGCATTATCATTTAGACGTCTCCTACAAGACTTATTAAGGAGTGTAGCTATTAAATGTATTTTTCGGTGTGTAACCAATACAATTGAGAAAGAGCATTATCATTTAGAGCGGCCTAAAATCTGCAAAACCTATATATACTGTTGAAAGAGGATAATTTGTTATACTAAAAATTGAGTAGGTGCAACCAAATAAGATTTAAATAAATCTACTTTACGTCACTCACCATTTTAACATAAGATCGTGACTATACATATCATATGTTCCAAATGGTTTTTTTTTTCTTAAAGTAACCTCTTTCAATTTACTTACATGTGATATAAACGATATAAAAAATTTCAATACGTAGGGATCATGTTCATTTTATATATCCTTCTCCATTAGGTCAAATATTTGCTTACACGATCCACTTTTGAAATATAAATGGCCATGTTCTATTAAACATTATTGGTTAAACCTTCAATATTCAGTACCAGAAATTGATAAAATGATATCAAATGAATTTTAGTGTAGTCATGACATTGATTAGATTGCCTTTTAAAAAGGCAGAACATCAACCTATTTACAGATACATCAATGTCGTTTAAGCAATGCAATGACTACATAGAAATTCATCTATACTATAAAATAAAACAAATCTAAAAATCTATTATTAAAAAAATCGTTAGACCATATATAACGATTTTTTTTTTTTTATCCTATCATTAATTATTCTAACTATACATTATTTAAATTATTTTAAATGAATTATATTATTACTCTTTATTTCATGTGAAATATTTTTTTTCTCTAATTTTTTTATCACCCAACGTTGTGGTTATTAAGCAATAATATTATACCCTTTATGCTCAATAATAGACCTACAATATTTAGACATAAATTAGTAAAATGAGTTAATATATATCATACAACAATTATACCGTGTCATTCTACATTATATAGTTCTAAATATTTACAAAATTCAATTTGGTAAAATTTTTAGCAAATTATCCATTAAAAACAAAAATAATGAATAATAAATTTTTAATATTAATAAGATATGTGACCAACATCTGTCTAGTAAACATGTGTTTAAACTATGGTATATGTAAAGTGCTATAGAATTGCGTTAAATAGAATTTAAAAGACAAAGAGCCACATATGATTGGGGTTATTTTTAATTAATACAAACTTAAGGTTACAATTTTTTAAATGATTTCCAAATAATATATAGGGGATATGTTCTTATTTTCTGCACTGTATGGTTTGAAGTTTGATGGTGAAAAGCAAATGCTATGTTGTGCTTAGGAGCAGAACTAGGTAGAAATTGGATGGGGCAAGTGCACATACATAATTTTTTTATTTTTCATTAGTTTTGTTGGAAAAACCTAGAAATTCAGATGGTTAGTCTTCGTTGCCCACTTGTTGTCGATGTGGGGGACCAGAGACAACTAATCACCTCCTCTTCCACTGTCCGTTCTCACAAGAAGTGTGGAGCCTAGGCCCCTGGAGCCAAGCTTTTGACGCTTCTCAAGTCACCTCCTTCAAAGCGACGCTCATCGCATCTAGCTCCTGGATCTCGCTTCCCCCATATGGCTTCACTACCAATATATTCTCCTGGATATGTTGGTTCCTCTGGACGTCAAAAAATCAATTCATATTCGAGAAGAAGCCATCAACGCCGTCGGAGATCATCCTCAAGACTCTCAACGCCATAAAGGAGTGGGACCGTGCTCAATGGACTATGAATAACCCATCTCCCACTAAGTTGGAGCGATCCCTTGTCAAGTCACATATCACTGGAACCCTAGTCCGCACACAATCTATTGCAACTCCGATGCAGCTTAGCGATCGGACACGGGAGAGGCTGGATTGGCTTGGATATTCACCAACCACCAAGGAAGGGAGATCAATCGGGGAGCTTCTTTCTAGAATCACGCTTCCTCAGTCTTTATAGCGGAGGCATTAGCGGTGCGAAGTGCTCTCATCCACACTTCCGATCTCAACTACAGCTTCATTTGGCTTAGATCAGATTCCCAACTGCTCGTTCGAGCTTTATCTTCAAAACGCCATCCGACTGAGCTCTACGGAGTGCTTTCAGACATCGTCTCGTTCTCTCTTGTTTTTCATTTCAGCCGTTTCAGTTTCATCAGAAGAGAGTGTAATGGGCCTGCGGACTTAAACGCTAAGGCCTGCTTACTTTCTGGTCCAAGCCTTGTTACTCTGTGAAGCTTCTAATTAATCAAAGTTTGTGTTGTCCAAAAAAAGAAAAAGTCTTTGTTGCCCCATATATACAACTCTGGTTGAAATCAACACTAACTACTATAATTTTGCTATATAATATATTGTGCCCATATAATTATAGATGCTAGATCTGCCCCTTTTTGTGCTGTAATATGAAAGGTTGGTATTTGGTATAATATATTTGTTAGTATGTAGAAGATTGTATCTTCGATTGAGACTGATTGTTTACAGTTTCTAAAATGGTTTTTGGTTTTAGATTTTCCAAAAACTGTTTTTTTAGCCAATCATGATTTTGATCAAATAGATTCCCTATTTTTTAGGGAAACTAGTTTTTGATTCTTTAAACTAATTTCTTCTTAGAAACCAAAATCCACATTATTATGGTTTCTTCCGACAACTAACGACCAAAACCAATAAAAATGGTTTTTTTTTGTCTAAGGTGATGATTGTTTGTTTGGTTTTTAGATTTTAGTTTTTAGTTTTTGGCTTTTAGTTTTTAGTTTTTAGATTTTGATTTTTAGTTTTTAGTTTTTGAGTTTTCTGTAGATTTTGGTTTTTTGAAAAAATTGAATGGTGATTTTAGATTTTGTTTTTTTTTTTGTTTTAGAAATTAAAATAAATTATTAATAGTAAAATATTCTTATGAATCAATAAAAACAAAATTATCATTAGTGTCACGAAAAGTAAATAACTTAATGAAAACTTAAAATAAAATAAATATAAAAGTATTATTAATATAATTGTTTCATTTAAAAATATTAAATTTTATATTTACAGGAAATACACAATAATTTAAATTAATAATTATATTTTACATAATAATTTATAAAATATACTATTTCCATCTCAAATTTTGTTAGGTTTTATATAAACCAAATATTACTAAAAATATTTAGATTTTTAAATTTTAATTTTAAAATTTTAAGTAAAAATAATTTCCAACCAAATTGTTTGGTAAAAATAAGTTTTAATACTATATAATTTTACACATAAAATAGTGCATAATTAATAATTAGTTTTTGTACAAAAACAGGTTGCAATTTATTTTTACTAAAAATTGTTAAAATTAAAATTAAAAATATACTAAAAATATATAAAATAAGAAAATGTTTTCACTAACATAAATTATTTTGTAGTTTTAGAATTTAAATCTTCAATGATAAAGAAATTGTTTTCTTGACTATAAGTGATATAGAATAGTTATTATTTCATCAATAATCTCTTTTAATTTAATTATCCTATGTTAATGCATAATTATAGTAATATTAATATTTCAACAAACAGAAAAAAAAATCATATATATAATGAGAGACTCTTTGCTCTCTCCTAAACATGTCCACGTAGGCCAGTATGTGGGACCCACATTCGGTTTGGTTTTGTGATTCGTTTCTCGCGTGACATTCGGTCCAGAGACAATGAACTCTTCTCTCACCTTTTGGCTTCCCTATCTTTCAACGTATTCCTTTTGAATTACGCCAATAAATGTGATTATCATTTAACCCAAAAACTATGTGTATCTCTCCGTTTCATTCACCCTCAAATCTATAATCTGGAGAAGATTAAGAATTCGATGAACCTTCGCAAACACTCTTCGTTAATCTCCTTTATAAACTGTAGAAAGAATCCTTATGATATGATGAAGAGGCAGATGACTAACTACATGCTTCAGAATGATGAAACGCATCAGAAGGTACACAGTTTTTCAAAACCCAACAAGATTCGATTTTTTACTCTTCAATTCAATCTTATATCCCTTATTAATCTTTTTTTTATGCCTTGTAGTGGTGCATCTGGCTCGCTGCAATCAACTCCTTGGTCACATTTCACCTCCGGTTACAGCCTTCCTGTCGGCCCTTCCCGAGAACCATCACCGCCGCGGCGGAGATAATACCTGTTATGATTACTTTTCAGTCAAAACAAGCTTTAATCGATGAGCAAATCCGTTCTGTTCAAGCTAACGCAAGCTCATGTTTTATCAGTTGATAATTACTTGGATTTTTTTTATTTGTCGGATATAATAATTACACGATTATTTTCAATTGATAGTTAAACGGTTTATAAAATAAAAAGCTCGATGTTCATTTTCTGTATAGTTCCAGAAGATCGGAAAGGAGAAAGACAAGCACTGAAATGATGATGCAAGAAGACACAAAGCAAGGAGCTACCACAACCAACAAAGACCAAAGTCCGCCTTCACGACGGTCGAGTGGAACTGGAGTGTTCTTGCCAGGCAGTCATGGTACTGTGGAGTCACGCAAGAAATCAGGTTAGAGCCAGCCAGTAATTTCATATTAATTTTAGCACTATTACTCCTTTTTTTCCCATATCAAATCCATTCTAAGTTTATGTTTTGATTTTTTTTTTTTAAATCTATGTGGTTTTAAAGAAGGTTACTTATAAAATCTTCTGAAAGTTGCATCTGAAGATGATGAAATGGTTCAGGTAATAGTCACAAATAGCCATTACAGTTTACATATTTTCAATCTTGAAGCCCTTCACGTGGAGCTTCTAAACATTAGAAGCAATTTTGATATTCAGATTTCCAGAGAAATTGATGTTTCCAAGGAAGCTCTCATACAAATTACATCAAGACTAAGAGCTAACGCTTTTGACATGGAAGGTGCTATTTCTGCATTAATGCGGTCTTGCCTTGTGTTCCTGCAGCACCAGATGCTGGTGATAGATTGGACTATGATAGAAGAGATACCAGAAGACCTGAATGCGGGAATCATTATCCTGGTTGTTATGGCTCAAGTTGGTCTGCTGAAGGTTATTCACCTCATGGTGCGCGGGTATATCTGCTTAAAAGGTTCCCTTAGATGTTTTTTCCAGCATATTAGTTCCCTTAGATGGTTTTTTTCCAGCATATCAGTTCTCTGTTTAAGACTCTTTGGACATATATCTTTCAGGTTAGTGCTGGTAGTAATACTCAATATGGAGTCTATGGAGGTTATGCATTTGGACGCAGTGGCAGTTCTGGGTAAGATTATTTCTTCCCTGATGTATTTATGACAATATAGTATACTAAGTATTTACCGTTTTGAACTGTGGTTAACTGTTGACCAAAAAAAAAAGAACTGTGGTTACCAAGTGTTCCAATGTCGATGTGCTACTACACATAGTTCGTGCCTTTCATTGCCTAAATATTTTTGGTGTTTGATCCTTAGCATGGGTTTTGTCACAGGTTATCCAACCATTCCTCTACCCATCAACATTATTAGGCTACTGGTGGATGATTAAAAAGGTTAGAATACGATATGATTTGTTTAAGTCCTTAAGGTAGTTTGCCTAGATATTTTCCCCAAGTTCATGAGATTATATGATATGTTCCGGTGTCAGATTCTGATACACTGGTTTTTTCCCTTTTGTGACCTTTTCCCCGTCCCAGTTTGAGTTAACGAAGCCTGAAGCCAACCCTAGATCCCATAGCTGAAGCCTTTCCACAAAACAAGATGACAAAGCTGAACCACCAAACTATACCTAGGGGAACCAATTACATGTGGATGGCATATTTAAGTTTGTTTCAAATATTTCTACGCCCGCTTGTGACCAAAATACCTCCAGTCTCCTTCCTGTTAAATCATATTTAGTTGCCTGAAATGTTGTCTATCTATCATCTTTCAGTTTACCTGGTCTTTCCTAAGGTTATGTATTATAATGGACAAAATATAAAATAAATAGATATGAAATGACGTTTTTTATTTACTTTGAGTTACTTACCCACTTTGTTTTATAGGGGTTGGCATAGTGGGAATCTTGTGACTATATTAGATTTAGTAATTTCATAAAATTATAAGTAAACGAAACTACACAAGTAATCTCATAATAAAGTTAATGTTAGCTTAAATTTTATCTTTAAATTTAGTATGCATATCTTCTTTTTTTTTTAATGTGGTCACTAGGGGTATTCAATCTGGTAAACTGAACCAATAGAAACCAAACCGAACTGAAATAGGAAAAGATGTTTGGATTTGGTAATACCAAATGGATGTCATTAAGACTTTGATATTTTATTTTAGGTTAAAACTTATGATTCATTTTTATTAAACAATAGAAAATATAAATTTTAATTTTTTTTTAAACATGTGTGTAAATATTTAGTTATTTATAATATTTTGGATTACTAATTTATAAGATTATGGATTACTAATTTATATTCTATAGAAATTATTATAATTACTAACTTAATATGTTTACTAATTATTTTAAATAGTAAAATAAAAAGGAAAAATAGTATATTTTTTTAAAACACTTAACAAAAAAATATTCTATTTAAAAACCGAAATATTTCCTTGTTATATAAAACCCGATATCTAATTATATAAAGTTTAGATAAAAAAGGTATAAAACCGAATAAACTGAAAATCAAAAATATATAAATTAAATCAAACCAAACTAAATATGATTTTAATATGGTAGTTAATTTTATAAACTAAAATACCAAAAAACCAAAAAAAAAAATTAATCGAAATAACCGATATCTAGATTGAATACCCTTTTTTTTGTGGGCGACTATCTCTTGCTTAGATCTCAATTATTTAGGAGCAACATATGAAACTTTAATTTATCAGTTAATTTCATTATGACTAAAAAAAATCACCCGAAAATATTTTTAATTGTCAACAACCCTGCGTTTGCGTGGGGTTTTCGTCCCCTAGTAACTATAAGAAGCAATGTTAAGTCACGTACTATTGCTGGAAAAACCAAGAAAACATGGTTTTTGGTTTTTATGAAGAGTTAGGTAGTTATTCCAAAATCTGGTTTCCCTAAATTTTAGGAAATCTATTTTCTTAAAATCTTGATTGGTAAAAAAATTAGTTTCTACAAAATCAAAAACCAAAAACCAATTTAAAAACTGGAAACAATCAACCTCTAAAAAAGTCAAGGTTTTTAGTAATTTAATATACTATACAAGATTTATATCTAATATTCAAAAAACCACTCAAATACACGTAATTTTTAAGAATACACTAGGTGTTTTACCCGCCATGCAGGCTTAAGCCTTTTATAATTATTTGTTAGTATATATATATTAATAATAAAAATTAGAAGCATAAATTATTATTTGTGTTTTCATTTTGAATTTTTTTATTTATCTTAAAAATTATTCAATATTATTTTTTCAATTATATAAAATTAAGAATTTTAATTAATTAATATGTAATTGTTTGTTTTCTGCTTTTGAATTTTTAGATATTTTATCAAAAGATAGTTTTCGGATAACAATACAATATATATAGGAATTATCTTTTAAAAATAAAATATATTTTAGATTTTGGATAACTTTTATTGTTATTATTTAAAATAACTTATCTAATTAAATAAATTTAAATTTTTTTTTATATTTAATTAATTAATATAATTTATTCATTAAGGATATAAACGATATTAATCGCTTTTGTTGCGAAAAATCACTTCGCAAATAATAGTATATATTACTTTCCACCTAAATGTTATTTATTTACCATACAAAATATGTAGACTTAGATTTGCCACAATTTAAAAAATATCTTTAATTTTACTTTTTCAAAAAAATTGGTAACTATTATTTATGTATTATTTAATTCTAGTTTTACATAAAATTAATGCGTACATAGTTAGATTATACACATATAATTATTAGTTTTAGTTAACTATTAATGAATATATATAATATAGTTAAATGTAAATTTTTTTTTTAAAGTTATGTATATTCATTTTACTTAAAGTTATATATGTACTGATTTCTACATATATTATATATGTACAAGTTAACAATATAAAGTATATAATATAAAACACTATGTCTGCACAAAGAACTATATTTTATTCTAAAATGTATTTATGGCATAAATATATTTATTTTAAAATTTATGTATCTATATGGAATTCATGATAGTTTTATTTTGTACTTGCATTTTGTATTTTTTCGTTAAATACTTTTATTAAATGATTTTATGTATGTTTTAATGACAGTATTTGATATTTTATTATTTTTAAAATAAATATTTTACTATTAAAGTATATTAATTTTATTAATTTTATAAAGAAAAACCAAAAACTAAAAACCAAAATCTAAAACAACCAATCATGTTTTTGAAAAAACTAAAATCTACTGCAAAATCTAAAACCAAAACTCAAAAACCAAAATCCAAAAACCAAAATCTAAAATCCAAAAACCAAAAACCAAAAGCCAAAATTTTAAAACTAAAAAAAAAATCATCACCTAGTTGATTCTTCTAGAAAATGGGTTTTCTTCGTTATGTGTTTGAATTGAATTAGCCGATGAAGAAGAAAGAGTGTAAAGACTAAAGATTCACATAGATGGAACGTTGTGACTCACAACTTGTGAGTGAGTGAGATACTACGGATAAAATAAGGAGAGCGTATATTTTCAGATTTTGAAATTTGAATTAATGAGTTTTCTTTTAAATTCCGTTACGCCCATATTGAAACCCATCTAATATGCAAGACCGTTTGAGAATAAAGTTAATCGTACGGTTATGAGTCGTCAAAAAACTGCAGGACCGTTCGATTGGAGTTATCTAATGATCAACTAAAGATCTCAAAACCGGTTCGGTTTAGGTGTTGATCATTAAGTATGCCTTCGTAATCGTCTCCTTTTGTCGCTCTCTCTCTCTCTCTCTCTCTCTCTCTCTCTCTCTCTCTCTCTCTCTCTCTCCCTCTCCCTCTCTCTTACGATTACGAAGTGGTGAGATTCATAGATTAGAAAGTTTTTACTTTTCAATTTCTCTAACCTCTAAATCGTGAATCACTTTTTGTTTGTTCTTATATTTAGTTAGGGTTCGGGTGAAACTGATTCGAGCGATTAGGTTTCGTGCTATCTTTCTTGATTTGCGGTTCTCTGATTTAGGGTTTTCAAGTTTCCTTATATCGTTCGTTGTTTGGTTGTTGTAATCATGAATCGCTTTTGTTCGTTCTTATCTTTGTTTAGGGTTGGCAATAAGATCGGTTGGGTTTTGTGATATCTTTGTTTTGTTTTGCGATTTTGTGAGAGGGTTTCAATTTTCCTTAACCGTTCGTTGTTCGCTTGTTGTAGGGATGTTGAATCTGCATACATGGAAGCGCTACACTCTGCCTGAGACCGAGGTACTTCTCTGTCTTTTGCTACGGTTTTGATCTCTTGTAATCGTGCTTTTGATTTGGGGTATTTGATGTTTATTATGGATCGATCATATAAAGAGAACAGATTCAATGTTTACTTTAATTAAAAGGTTGATGTGAATAATGTCTTTTAGCTGTGTGGGCTGTTTTGAGTTCTAAGTTTGTTCTTACTAGCCTACTCTCTCTGTTTTTCTTTTTATATTCTTCAGTGTGTTTGCTTGTGTGGAGAAACGATAACAACTGAAGATATCTATGAGCCGAACTGCTGAAGCAACAAAACAAACAGATGAGCTCTTTTACTTCCTCTGGTTCAGTCTTTTCTTGGTTTTGTTTTCTTGATTCGCTTTTTAATAAGATTTTTCAAAGGTCTTTATGAAACCCAAGAGATGAGCTTTTGTTTTGTATTGGTGTTTACCAAAAAACAGAAAACCTTTTGTTTTTGGTTTTACCAAAATCCCCAAAAAGGATCAATGCAGACACTAATCTAATAGTGTTCTGTCAGAATCTTATATTGGGGACATTGTCCCAGTTGCCTGAACTCCTGAAGTTTAGAGCCATAGAAAATTTTAAATCTATGGCCCCAAAAACCATTGGTTGGTAGTGCATGTCTAAGAAAAAGATGGGACTGTGAGTTGCCCATGGTTTATAAAGTCTTAAGACAAAGACTTGAGTTACCCACGGCTTATAAAGTCTTAAGAGTCTTAAGACAAAGACTTGAGTTACCCATGGCTTATAAAGTCTTAAAAGAGAAAGAGACCCACGGCTTATAAAGTCTTGAGACAAAGACTCACAGCTTATAAAGTCTTAAGACAAAGACCCACGGCTTATAGTCTTAAGACAAAAGACCCACGGCTTATAAAGTCTTAAGACAAAAGACCCACGGCTTATATGTCTTAAGACAAAAGACCCACGGCTTAAAGCCTTATGACCCACGGCTTATGATGTAAGACAAGGACCAACGGCTTATAAAGTCTTAAGACAAAAGACCCACGGATTATGATGTAAGACAAAGGCTTTGAGTTACCCACGGCTTATAAAGTTTTTAAAACCATGGCCCCAACAACTATTGGTTGGTATGGTAGTGCATGTCTAAGCAAAAGATGGAAAGTATGAGAAAGTCTTTAGACAGAGACTGT